AATCTTCCAACTTTCGACTTGGGAAAGTCGATAATACGCGCAAAAATAGAAAGGTCAATGAATGTGGAGTTCAATTTGCGAAATTCGTACCTTTAACTCATCATATTCCAACGAATTTCTGGCTTTGCGGAGTTGATCTACAAAGGTTTTTGTGAATTTCAACTTAAGTTTTATGAACTTTGCAAGTAAATATATAGCAAACGTAAAAAAAGAATATACAGAGTTCTACTTAGTAACTTTTAAACTATTTAGCAACACATTAAAACCTGCTGATGTCGAAGACAGTGTGGGAATTACATTTTGACATGAAAGAAGTAATAATGCACCTGGAGAAAAAGATAAAAAGTGAACTTACCTTTCAGGGATATTTCTTTTTTCAACTTCAAAGCCACGTGACCTGTCACAGTTTCACCGCAGAAAAACGTTGCGTGCGGCCGACTATTAAAATGGATTCCAAAATATTCCACACTCATATCGATTTGGAAATAATGTTTACTCAGCCTAACAACCAGTAGAAAATTGATAGAAGGACGCAGACTATGTTAATGACGCGGACAATGTATCACTTGCCTTTGTAAATGAATCAGATAAGTCCCTATCCGTGATTAGATAAACCGAAATGTGTATACGTCAAGACCCACGTAGGGAATACATACATATGAGAATAATGTACACGATTTTTGAGAATAATTTACACGATTATTTGGATACCGGATAGTATAAAGATTGATACTATATCTGGTACAAGTTTGTAGCATAGAGAGAACAATAATCTTTATAAAATGAATGGCTTAAGACAGTAACAACACAAGCCTCACCATCCACGAAAATACTCTCCATTCGAAAACGATATATTGATTTATGGATTAAGTACCATCTTGTTACTGCTCCGAGGTCCTTAATATACAAAACGCACTTTTAAGAGTACAAGTACTCTTATAGAAGATACCATCTTTTGTACTCTCTATTTTCCCAATAGTGTAGTATATTGTACTATTTTTTCAGAACTCATGTAAGGAATTATAATTCCAACACAACCCTTATGTAGAAGTTCTTGAAAATTAATTTTCCAAATAAATACTTCAACATTTCAAAAGGTCTCTACCGCTTCGCACTGTATACAGTTTTAATGAATATTTCTGAACCATGATTCGTATATGAGAAATAAGAATAAAACATCTGAGAAGGTTTTATCACTGAAAATTGCTTTTGAATTCCCTCAAAAGTATAGAGTTCTAAGAAAAATTGTTTGGAAATCTACTTCAAAACAGAAAACAAAAAGTAAAGAATTATTATTGGCAATGCATAAAAATCACAAAATGTAAAATCACATGTTGTCCCGACAAGCGATGAAATGTATTGTTTTTAAACTTCAAAATAAGGCACGTGCTCTTTTCATGGGTTGACTATCTGGTAACCATACATCTTGACCTTCAAAGATATGAAGAAGATGTATTGTAAGAAGATAACTCGCTCTTCTACCAAAATCGAGAAATTAATTAACGAACAACAGGAGGCTTGTTCTGATTTACCTTGTTACTGCAGCAAACCCTTCGTATAACTAGGTAAGTAATATAAAATGATTCTGAAATTATAATGCACACTACCAATTTGAAATGTATTTGTCGTCTTCGAAAACAATGACTTACTGGTTAACGGATGAGAAGATTCCCTGCGAAGGGCCGATGGGTCAATGGAATCTCAGCCTGCTCTCTTCCCCTTTTTCTCAGCTGGACGCGTCTCCTTCCCAAGCCATTCAAGGAATTTGCTGCTGTGTACTACTTCCACGGAGATTACACAGTTGCAGGTCTGCTCAAGGGGCAACGCTATCTGAGGCCAAGTGCTGTGTCCCACTGCTTTGTGGCGGTAGCCCAAATGGCCTGGCGGGGGGGGGGGGGGGAAGGCCGCCTGCTCGAATCGCTGTTAGAAGGGAGAGAAGGGGTAAAGTAGCCTACCCTATAATTCTATTTTCCTATAGTGACCGATGACATTAGGTCATTGTTACACCTCCTGTCTTATAAAATGAATCCTTTTAACAGTGGTAAGGCCATGAGCCCTGTTGAGAAGGACGTTCGAGAATTAATTAAAACGATTCATTTTATAAGGTAGGAGAAATAACAATGATCGGACACTAGGGTATAGTGCAAGGGGAGTGTCACGCAGGCCAGGGCAGACGGCCCGAAATCTTGCAATTGAGCAGCCTTGCACTACTGCATCACTATGTAATGCCCACCTGTTAAGAGATGATATCTCACATCCTTGGGTGTACCTAGTAGATTAAAATGGAATAATACTCTGATATGACAAATAAAAAGCAATAAATTTTCATCAGAAATAAATATTTTCTTTTTTTATAATTCACAGATATTTAAAGAAATATTCACGTTTATTAATAGTAGAAGGAATGATGGGAAACGAAAGTCCTTTATTCAGGTTTTCAAATTCTTAAACATGCAATTTACAGTCCCGAACGCTCCGGAACTTTTGATAAATAAATAGAACGAAACAGAAAATATTCTGAATAATGAGGTTTAAATCATTATTTAAACCTCTCGGACCTGAGATCTGTTTATTTCAATTACGATTCTTAGTTTGCATTTCCAGAAACATGAGATGAACGGGTTCTCACCAGCGACAAAAGCGGATTAGTCAGGTTTTAGCAACTACAAATTTCGTGACGTTTGTTTCTTGTAGTTTGTCCTGATCCCGTGCTCGGGGGAATGAGATCGCGAGCGCTCCGCGTCTTCACATGGGGGTTTAAAGGGAAGGGTCGTGCAAATACTGCTCCAGAAGTATGGCGCGCCGGGAAAATGTCTCCGCAGTGGCACCTGCCTGGTGAGAGTGCTTGCAATAGAAATTATGTTGACAGCACGAGCTGTAGCTTGAAAACGTAAATTGCGTACTCACCACAACAATAATGGATGCTGGGAGTGTTGTTACTGTGGCGTCTTTGCCGGGGCAATAAATCACAGACGTGAACGGATTGTAAATCATTAAGTATTTATTTGAAAAAATGCTCCAACACCTGAATACTATGTACAATATTTAAAATAACAATACTGGACCCGTTACTAGAAGGAATGTTCCTGTTTACCACGCACCGCTGCCGATAATAAAATATCGGTGTGTGCACCAGTAGCCCTACGTTGAGCATACAAGCGAGTATGCCGCACCTCCCGTACTCGACGTAAGCACGCCCTTCATCCCTCCTCATAGCCTATGCAATTAAATGCATCGCCCGCGCACAACCCCACACACTTCTACCGACGCGCCAAGAATCAGAAGAATTTAGGTCCGGGAGCCGTTATAACCTTCTGGGCCCGCCTGACGAACTGCTCATCCGCGGTTTCCGCCAAGCGCGTTCGCCGCCGCCTTGCCTACGGTTCCCCAAGTTTGCCACCCACGACACGGCGCCCCTTCCCTTCCGCTCCCTAGGTTGCCTTTGTTGAGCCCAGCGCCTCTTCCGCCAGCGCTGTCCATGAGCATGAAATACACGTGGCTGATTTTGGTACGTTTGTAAAAAGCGACTGTTATGACGCCACGTTAAGTTCACTCGTATCCAAGTGATTTGGCTGATACCACCATAAAAGCCATTTTTAATCGGAGGCCCTCATTCGGCTCGGTGCGGAGAAACTTTCCGGGTTCACTGTACTTTAATTGGTAATTTGCCACTCTCTTTTGTCTGAATGTCAACTGCATTATACCACTTCGTCTTATGTTTGTCATAAAAGAACTTGTCTTTTCACACCGGTAAAGGTGGCTCAGGGCATCAACTGATGTCACTGCAGTGCCTCTGGGAGGTCCTGAGCTTGACGTCCACACGGAGGTGAGATTTTCGACACTAGCTTGTTAGCTAGGCCAAATTCATCCGCGGTCTGGAGAATTCTAGCGACCGGCTGCTCTGATCGGTAGTTTTCGGTGGTTTCTACGATCAACACCTGGTGAATACCGGAGAAGTACCCTATCAAATGGGCCACGGACCGCGTGCGATTTTTGCTTCCTCTTCCCCACCCCTTATTTACACACACTTGTTTCACACAGCCGTTGATTCTTTTTTGCGAAATTGAAAAATGTAATGCGGAAAATATAATGTCTCTACACATCACTCTTTTACAATAGAAGTGGTGATAAGAGGAAGATGAAAGGACAGAGTACATTGAATTTTCTTCGGCATTCACCTGAAAGTGACCAGAGAAAAATCTAATCAGAGCAGACGATCTGGGAAGTGCCGTATGATCCACAAACTCGCTGTTCTTTCAATCACCAAGAAAATAACGTGCTTCACCCATGATCAAACAAGCAATCTTCAAATCACTGTCACTCTTGGTCGTCACATCCTACATAGTATAGTAATCAGGTAATCTCAGTGAGTCCATTCGTCATTTGCGATTACCTCTTTGATTATTAGAAGCATTTTGGACTATATATAATTTTTTATTGCTCGTTATTGCCTCCGATATGAACCTCTATGAACACTTCATAAGTTAACGAATCGAGAGGAATGGTTACGGTGATCCTGGTTACGAGGGAAATATGAAAACAGTTGAATGTGTTCCCTTATGGGGGAAGTATAAGAGAGAATTATGGGAGGTAAACGTGAAAAAACAAATCGAGTCCGATTAGCATCTAGTTAATTAGTAAGTAAATAATTCTGAAAAAATAAATTAGATAAATGTAGTTTCGTGAGCGTTTACTGGTTCTAATGAATCTGAATGACTCAAGCGAAAAGCCTTCAAGGTCATTAATTAGAACCCCTTTAGAACGCCCTTTGGTGCATAAGTAACTATTCATTCACTGATCATCACTAAGGCTTTACTCGTGATAGTTTCAGTATAACATAATACGACATTTATCGTACAACTTTAGAATTGTGGTTAAGCTAATTGAGCTTCTGCAGAATTAATTTTTTTTTAAATTGGCATATATTATGTTGTGGTTAGCGTCCTCGGAGACGTTTAATGGGAGAAGAATGATATTGTGAAAATATATTTATAATTGTTTTTTTATTTTTAAAGAAACAATGAAATTAAATAATCTCAAATTGATAAATATGAAAATACTTCCAAACTTTATAAAACAATACAAGCTTTCACAATAGGCGTAAATGCTGAAATCGCTGAAGCAGTAGCCGACCAGGAGGCATTTACGACCCTTGCTCCCTCACGTCTGAGGAGACTGCTGTCGGTGCAGAAAAATCATCTACAACTGTTCATTCAGCTGAACCGCAGCCAATCAGTCTGGTCACAACTTCAACATAAAATTGATAACCACTTTAAAAATGTCGGAGACCCTACACTAACCTATTTAAATGTGATTTTGACGTAACGAACGTAGTGGCCCTCATTGCTGGTTCTTCAGATGCATCCAACTCATATTTCAAAAATAAATATTATTATCTATGAAGGATTCCAATTATTACAAACTTTGAGATTCTTGATAATCTCTTAGGATTTGGACATGAGAAAATATAGGAAGAGTCTCTTCCCCGGAAAATAGTTGTCTTTGGAAATGGCGTTGTCAAATGTAAATTCTCTTATAATGTAAAATTGTAAAACAGATTGTGATCGCTTATGACCATGAAGTTGCTCAGCGACATAAAACTAATAAATAAAAATCTTCATTGGAATCGATACATGGGGTATCGAGGCGCGAAATCCGTGTTCCCCTGCAGATCTTTGCTGTCGTCGTCGCTGTGAATGTCCACTTTGCAAGCGAGGCTCTCTTCGTACGAAGGAGGAGCTGAAACAATGACAATACTTTTAGGGTACAACTTTCACACAAACGTCATAAAGAATACATTAAAATCATTTACATTGTTACTTCTACCACGAGGTACATTTGGTTTAATAATAATCACAATGATAGCTGTGAGAGATATGAAGGTGGCGCTAATGCGGGATAGATAGGTGTTTATTATTTCTCCAGGTAGGTTTATGCAACGTCGTGGCAGAACTCTACAATTTACACTACATTGCAATTAAGAATATTGTCTTTATAAAAGTTAAAACCTGCAGCGCAATGATCTTTTAATAAAGTTCTGTCGTGTTAGTATATGGAAGTTTCAATTTTTTTAAAGACCATTCTTACGAGACTGAAGATGATATAATAAAATTGTGGAAACGGTGTATCAATTTAATAACAATAAATAGTGTGACGCCATATTTTGTTTATCGTCGTTGTTGATGTAAAACCTCTAACGTGACGGATTTGAGGGTTTTTACATTTTGATATCAATGATTCAGAATTTGCTTTTTCTAATGTTTGATTTTTATTTAGTTTGAAATTTCCAAAGAAAACTACAAATTGTGGTCTTAAAATATAAAATATAACCCTTCTATATGATCTTTACAATGTATGTTAGAATATCTCGTATGTGGTAAGAGCCACATAGGTTTTCGTAAGGTGCTTTAAGAAAATATCACAATAAATAAATATTTAATACTATTTCTTAGAAAGTCTAGAATCTCTAACCTTAGCCAACTGAACATTATTAACATAAGAAAGTGTATTACTTTCATCCTACACAATTTTGTTTGGTTTTTTTTCTTCACATAGGAGGTTGCATTTCATCAAAACGATATGTCGATTATTTAAATTTCAAGTAGGGACAAAAAAAGGGAGCATATACTTACATATAACCAAAAGATAACATTGGCTACAATAAAACATAATCAGTATTTGTATCAGATCAATTATAATTAGTGAAGCATAGTTATGGACCTTTAAATAATTGCCAATTGGTTCACGATGCAGTGTTGTTTTTCTCAATAGTTTTGAATCATGAGACGTAATGTGCCGATTATTTTTGTTTGTAATATTATTATTTGCAAATGTATACAATCATTCACAATGTGTTCAAAAATGCTTTTGCTTTAAACACCAATGAAGTACTATGAGAAAAATGGGTAGAAGACTTTTCTGTAGGTCATTTTCATTGCAATATTCTGATACACAAATAACCTCTGAAAGAGAGTAGAAGGACGGAAACGCAATATTGAAAAGAGTAAGTTAATGAAAACAAAACGATTTTTTCTACTCCCATTGTATAATTCTGTGATTTGACGGTTACGATACAGATTTGTTATGTTGCAGGTTCTTGACGAGTCACAGAGAAGTTTACATTAGCACTTCATTAACCATTGAGAATCGTTCTAGGAAATGTTTTGTTCGATTGTGTACATTAAAAATGTATTTAATATTATATTACGATACCCGCTCATTTCTTTTATTGTTGGTAATATTTTACGTGGAATATTATTTAAAATAAATTGGATCGTAATTTCACTTTTATTCTATTTGACTAGCGCAGTACTCCCACGCAGGCGATCTAGTAACCGAAGGCGGAAGGGAAGGATAGGTGGGGGTGTCCTCTAGGTGGCCTTGGCTGAATCCTGCATGTCTACTATCACGAAACGATTCAATATAAAAGTTTAACTTATAAAAGTTTACCATGAGCTGTAGAAAAAGTACCGTATGAAACTCGATGTAATGGGTATTAATACACTCGTTTTCACACTCTTGTATTAATACCATCATTACAACACCGTTTCATAATATATTAAAACACATACGGTTCTGTATCGCAAAAATAAGAAAATATTCTTACGTAGTTCAGGATAATCGTAACCAGGTGGTGCTGAAGGCAAGATGTAGGTTGCTGTAGCCCCAGATGTAGAGGGAACTTGCATGTCTGTAGCCAGAATAGATTGGAAATGATTTCTCAAAGGAATCACCCCAATCACTATTGGAACTTCAAGAGTGGCGTCTATGTGCATACCAGGGATTGCTCCTACAATCTAAAAATGGAATGTTACAATTAGACACCTTATTGAACTTTGCATTGAAATATTGAAATCTAATTATAATTATCATAAAATAAAGTATATTGCACAAGACTATGTCAGAAGGAGAAAAGGAAGCGAGCAGTGAAAGAGTTAAAGTTTGTATTTTACGAAATACCGTTCACTTCCTTGTCAACATAATTTGAGCGTATATGTTATTATGGATCAAGAAATATTACTGATCTGACGAATCCATTTTGTTTAGTTTATTTTTATATTTACCAGTGTTCATGTACAATGCATTCAGTTAATAACATTTTGACCCCCCCATTTTGCATTACAACCATTTATTATTATTATATCTTTTAATATATCATTATCATATTGGAAATGTTATTTAATTTTATATTAATGCATATATTACCAGAAATTTACACTTACTTCAATAGAGTATCTAATATCGATGCAATTGCAATGCACCAGAAATGATGCTGGAAGAGGTGGAATGACCAGGCGTGACTGAAAATTCTTGGAACCCTTTTTCTCTACAACACCAAATTGTTCCGTTTCAATTATGCTCCTGTCCTCCAAAATTTTAGTGCCAGAATTAGATGTTCCCGTAAATAATACTTTCTGAAAAAGATGACACGATGACTTTGTTAAGACAATGTATCTTTAGGAAAGGTCAAAATGAATAGGCGAGTCAAAAACCAGAAACAATATTGTGTACATAATATTATTTAGTGATACTGAACAGTACACAGGTTTTGAAGGTGTCTAGGCCAACTGTTCACAAAACAATAGCCCTTTAAAATTGAGAGACATAGTACGTAACATTTGAGTGTATGTTTTCTCCACGAGCAGGTTGGGAGGTAATTTGTATTAACTAACTCTAGCGTGTTAAATCTTCATTATGAATTTCTGTTCTTGTGTATTTGTACGGAACACAATATACGATTCAACCTTACCTGAACGAGGTTGCATTTAACGGTGACTTGAGAGGAGGACTTGTTGTCCACCTCTAGTAGCATCTGCACCCGCTGGCCTGGCACGTAGCCTGTGAAGGGCATCGAAGCGACCAGCGTGATGGGACCCGAACGACAGAACCAGCAACACAGCGTCTTCTCCTCCGACGCCGTTATCGGTGCCTGCGCCACATAAATGTAAGATTAGGCTGTGTCGAAGGCTTCCCCCACTAGAGTAAAACGAATGATCTTGGCTGTCCGGTTGACGCCTCGTCCAAGGCTGTCGTGCCAACGTTTCCGCATCTTGCCGTGATGTCGATGAGGATGCCTGCAAGTACGTCGAAACATCGGCATCAATACCTACGACTGAGCAACACACAAACAGCCACGATAATTCGCAAGATTACGTGATAATTCATGTATTTATTTACCTATTGGGTTTCTTTTGGGATACTTGGCGCCCCTGCTCCCTTCGCCGAACACCCTCTCTTACCACGTGTTTCCAGGTCTTATCGTCCTGCCAACCTTGTACCAATACGTATGTTTCATTTTTATCAGGACGGGGTCCTTCCATCGGCCAACAAGGCAATCTTAAGTCCTAACTCTGCAATGATTTTTCACTTTTAACGCATTTACAAAGCTGCTAAATCGCCCCACCTCACGTAGACTGCAACAGTTGATAAATTGTCTATGTTTCACGCAAAATAACGCGAAATATACTAAACTTTTTCAAAAATTGTACACGATCTTTAATATTTTCGTTGCAGGAAGACGGAAATTTCTTTTTTCAATTTTCAAAAAATCAGAGTTCAATCAACATGAGACCTGCGCATTCTCTTAAAAGTCCTTCAGACTATCCACCAACAAAATTTAATCAAAATGGACGGCGTCTTTTTCAGAAAAAAATTGAAATTGTCCCAGGAGCTTTATTTAAAGTACCCACCTAAATTAAAATATCAATTTCAAATTCAAGGACCCACGACGTCAGTCAGATCGTTCGGTGAATATCAATTTTGGAGAAACTCGGGTGATCAGTGTAGCCGCTAGCGTTATTCACAGACAGACGTTTTGCCGTCAATCGAATTTTGGAAATCAAGGACCCTCAAAACATGCATTCTGGTTATACCACGTATTACAAACGTTTTTCTAAACATTTTTTAAAAACGTTTGTTTAGCAACTGCATTTATCCACTTTTTCGTTGCCAGGGCTCTGTAATTTCTAAAATTCGCCGATTTTTCGCATTGCATTACATAATTTTCTCTTCTTAAGACGTTCCTTCTTAATCGCGGAAAAGTAAAAAGTTTGCAAGGACTACTCAGCAGTGTCGGTTTGCGGGGTGTTAATCCCGCCTGAAGCGTTGTGCCTCGTGGCATGTTGGGGCCTTCCAATCACCTTTCAACCTTCTTCCTTGCATGTGCGAGCGGTCTGGGGGCACCAGAGCTTGGGGTATTCGCAACGAGTTAGAATATACTATTTTGTATAGCATTAATCACACATTTTTGTCAGTTCATAGTTTTCTTATAGTGCAGGTTTTTCTACTTTTTTAAAAGCTTATTTGCTTCGTAGCTGAAGCGCCGCCATCTTTGCAGCATATTGACGCGGTTTTGTTTTTGCAGTCAAAGCAGCGCCCTCTGGAAAAACAAACGTACAGAAAAACCGCGGTAATCCGAACAAATAGGGGGGGGTATTGTTCAGATTCGGAAACGTTAATATTTTCCGAAGAAATGAACCGTATACAAACATCTATAGAATCTATACTATGTATAGAATTACCAGACAATGCAACTTAACGTGTGATGTGAGAAAATGGTAATATAGCGCACCGATCTTATTATCGGATCATCACATCACATCACCAAGCACATTTAGTTCCTTACGGCAAAAGAAGATTACCGATTTTGGAAGTTCCTCTAAGTGAAAATTACATAAACAAAAAATATGCACCGTAGTTACCAGTTCAATAAACGTTTCACTTCGACAACTTGTGTTTCGATAATTAGTTGTTTAGTTCTACAGTAATTATAAAATTCTTCCTTCAGACTACAAATATGCATTTTATTTATTTTGCTTATTTTTCCTCTATCCCGAATTTTGTTCGGATTATCGGAAATATCGGATTTGCGGGGTTTGGATTAGCGAAGTTCTAGTGTATTCTAGTATTCCGTTTGGCGCTGGTTTAGGCCGATTGGGCGCGAGCTGCACGTCCTCTTACTCTGTGTTTCTTCACAATCACTTAAAAACGAAATCACAATATATTAAACGACAACGAATTGAAAAAGTTTAAAAATTCGTTGCTTCCGTGCATCGGTTATTGTCATAAGAATGGGAGCTGTTGCAATGTTATTGTAGTTGATAGCACAACGCCTGAAATTGGATGTTATTGCACTAAGAAGGAAAGAAAAAGTTCATGAATAAGGCAGCACACTTGAAAAATGATATAGTTGTGGTTTGATTACTTCTATATTTACAGTTATATGCTGAACATACTAAAAACCTTATGAATATTATTGCTTCAATCACTAATGTTGTATAAATACAGTTAACTGAAAAATGCAACAATATAGATATAAGTTCTGATACAAACAAGAAGTCGATTCCGGTATACTGGAATTGTTGTTCGTTGATAGATGACAATGTAAAATATGAACATAAAACGAATTAGACATACATATTTTTTGGACGTCAAGTATTATAATTGCTTGTAGGGGTTGATAGGGCTCTCTTTACATTCCTTCCTTTCCGCAATTGCTGTCTTTGAGAAAAAAATAGAGCCATTGTTGAGAACATTTTGAAAATATCCTTGATGCTTCATGTGAAGTTCATCAAAATCACAATATCCTCTTCAAATTCAACCAACAAATTGAATGTCAGTTTTGGAGAAAATCCTCTCCACGGTTTAGCCCCTTGCGCTGTGCCCCTTGCGCACACAGACATTTAGATGGTCAGGACGTTTGAAGTAACGCCATTTTAGGGTATGGACGTCCCAAAAAATATGAATTCTGAATTCACAACGTGATAGAGAAAATTATTTTCATGCGACACGTAGGAACAAGAATTTTCCGTGTTTTGGGTACTACGAACTCACAAAACCAAATGTGCAAAAATCGTCGTATATTGCTACAATAATGAAATAATTTCTCTATAATACGGAAATAATATTCCAGAAAGTAAAAAGAACATATTTCCAGGACTATTTACCTGTACATTTGCAACGTTATTTAAATCCAAAACGTTTAAAACAGTGTAAGCCGTTTTGCTTTCGTGGTTGAATCTCCAAGGGCGAACAATTTTGGCCTTTACAGTATATCGCACATAGCCATTAGTTCCTTCAAATGACGATGGCAATGTTTGAGGCAAAACTATAGCGAAGTGGTGTGTATACACTCCAGGAGGTAACTTTACGTCACCATCTGTAGAAGAAAATAAATTTCAAAATTAAAAGGGAAAAGCAGATTGAGATTATAGAACATTGTTCCAATAAAACAGTTTTTAATAAGAGAATATACTAAAATTATATTTATATTTCTAATTTCCAATGCGCGTAGAGATTGAAAGAAATTTCTACAGCTACTGGTCATATGAGACATGTTTATGGTTTCGTTAGATATTCATGAATTAAGAAATAATACAAAAACAATGAGTTTCGGTTTTGACCGCAACTGCAAATATTTGATTCACCTGTACTGCGCGAAAAAATTTTATTTCCACACTCATTGTGTCACTGCTTTCGACACAGCTTATGGGACGCAATAGGAAGGATTCTGGGAAGAGGCTGTCCGCCATTAAATATTTGCTATTCACGTGTTGTGTTATGGAACAGCAAAATTTTTGTATATTCGTAAGAGGTTAAGATCGGAAGTACTGTATACAAAAAAAATACAATGTTTTTGCTGTATTCGTGAATGCAGATTTTGCGTTTGGCGATTCGTGAACACGTAATTTGATTTGATTTATTTTAGTCAAAGCACAGCAAACTATGTTGGGGCAAAATATAATCTACGCTCGATTTCTTGAGCTCTAGAATCTATTACGCACCTTGTTTACCATCCTACTTCTGTAACGTGTTTTTTTTTGTTGCAGTTTTTGGAAATAAAGAAAATTGGAACTAACACCACTTTCTTTATCGTCAATTACCAATTACGGCGAAAAAATCAGAAATGAAGAAATTTGAGAAAATAATTGCTGAGAAAACAATTGTTTAAATATTGTCTAAATTTCACGCAAAATTTGGCAATAACATCTGATATTTCGAAAAATTGTACATTATCTATTTCTATATCAATCTCTGAAGATCTGATTTCATTAAGAAAAGTACTGTTTTCAATATTTCTTATGTAAGACCTAAAAATGTTGAACTCTTTGCAATTCTCAAACAGTTTGTAATTTAAACGGGAATTATTCCAACGCATTTTTTTAATCGCCTGAACGGTTTAGGTGTTACAAGTTATACCGTCAATTAATACTGTCTTTTTACTACGTACGTACGTACGTATGACTAAATAGTCAATAAATTCTGTAGTTTTTTATGGTGACACTTACTTTTTCCTGAGATGTGTTTTCATTTGTATATAAAAAAAATCCCCTGATATTGTTCATCCAATTTCCTTATTTTCAGGCAAACAAAAAAATTGGGCCATAGTTTCATTTTTGTTGCTTTCCTAATAAGTGACTTAATTTTTGCTGTTGTGAAAATATCTGGAAATATTACTGTGAATAAAGCAGCATTATCAGAGTGAGTTAATGGGTGTTCGAAGTCAGCCGTACAAGTTTTTATAGCAAAACATTTATTTTTCAGTTTACTATCCCAGCATTTTACTGGAAGACGTTTCGAAACAAACATCGTGTCAAACTTTTAGAAAAACGTATGATGTTGGATTTCACTCCGTTAGTGAGATCAACTGATATTCTGAAGTATTGGCTACAGAGTGTTTCATTTGATCGCTTATCTCTACGTCATCATCCTCTGAAAAAAGCTTGTCAAGGTCGCGGGCACATTTCCGAGCGTCTTATAGACTGCCGGCAATGAGTTCAGAACAACTGCCGAGAATTTCAAAAGTAAGGGTTGTACAATTGGACCGGAGAGTGCTATTCGTTTGGTACTCCTATTCGCAATTCGTTAGCTATTCCTCATGAGTTATTGCCTTAAATTGACAGAACAGAATTATCAGTTTTTGCACTGTAACAAATCTATCAAATATCATTTCAGAATAACATTAAAATTTTCTTTGACTAAAAAATGTAATAAAACAAGTAGTTCCTCCGCAATAGTTTCTATGTTCAGTTTAGGAAGATAGTTTTTGTCCGACATTCAGGGTAGTATGATAAATCTATGGGGAGGATACTAAATGAGAGAAACTTCAGAGAGTTGGTTCCATAATTTACTTCACATTATTGCTATAGATATCAGACAACATAATTCTTTAATAAAGTCTAACACAAATGGAAATAAAAAATGAATATTTCATTGAAATATGTTCCTGCCAAAAACGATTATCACATCTGGAATGGCAAAAATGATTGCGCAAAGTAGAAATAAATAATAAAAATAAACGTAAAATACAATAAAATGTATGCATGTACTTTGGCACAGCAGCTTTTCACGAGCTAAGGCCAGCAGCGACCCGGCCTTGCGGCCATGTGTTAAGGGGTTAGTGAGGTTAGCACATAGCCATTCCTACGCTATGTTTCTAGTATTCGCAACCTGAGAAGTGAGCTATCTCATCATAACACAGCAACAGATATTGGGACATTACAAGGAAAGTTCACAATTAATTTTTGCCCCGATCGGGAACCGAATCCGAGTTTGAGCGGTGGAAAGCGAGTACGCTAACCAAGGAGCCAATGAGGGCTACAAAATACAATAATAATTAATATATACAACAAAAATAATTCAACTCCCGGTTGTTTAAAAGAAAACATTCAGTTCTATGAAAACATCTTTTAATTCTCATTCACAAAATTGTTCATTTTGAGAAATTATTCTTTCAATATTAAGTTGTACATATTCTCAAAATAGACTCTAAATATAAGTCTTGTCATACGTGATATCTGAGAAGTTTTGTTCTAATTAATTTGCGATAAAATGTTGCTTGTATCAATATGTGCTCCCAAACATTGAACTTATTTCTCCCTCAAACTTTCGAAAGCTTCGGAAATGACAAGGACACAACAACACACAAGATTAACGTCACTTTAACAGTTTCCTTTAAATCAGATACTATGTGATTTCTTGTACTTGCATGTTTATTCTATTCAGTACAGTTTTATCAGATTGTATTTTCCATTATTTTTTATTTATATGTAGACAAAAATGAAAATACACTAAATTACATTTTGTTGTTTATGTCACCCGCATTCTAAACAGCGTTCCATCATTTCTGCAGCAAACAGTACGTGAATAATTATATTTTAGGCGTAGTAAACAATTACACATAATTATTATTTAATTTTTCAGAGTACAAGTTACTTGCAAATGTGTGCATCACTGTAAATTTGAGCATTTGTTATTATTTCATGTCTACTTGTTGATTATGGTTTGATCAATTGCAATTTTTCCTTTACCTGCATTCATAATGCATGATTTTTCTACCAGATCTGAATTAAAAGAATGAATGAAATAAAAACCAGAACCTCCGTTGATATTTTTTATTGCTTCTGACTATACGAGTAGTTGCTATTAATTTATCTCATTTTTCGCAGAAAGCGTGGTCGAAGGAAATATCGCGTCCCAGAGGTAAGGGAGAATGAGGGAGGTGGAGGAATGAGTAATGGGAGAGGTAGTACACGGATTAGATAATAAAATTTTAATAAGGGATTATGTCCTTCTCCCACCACGCAATTTATTCAACAAGGATTAGGTTTAGGTGATAAGGCCTGATTGGTCCGAAGGAGGGCCCGAACGATGGATGAGAACTAGGAGGCGTGGGTGGATATTGGCCTTGGACAGGACACTGTGTTTTGTAAGATCACTAGCTACCGAGTGTATGCTGTAAGGAAAGGTTAATGTGAAGACCATGTCGGGTGAACTGTTTTTCTGAGAGATATTTTAACACAAATAGTTTAACATGTCTGTCTATCAGATGAAGTTTTAAGTGGTCGTGTGTCTAATTTCTTTGGACAGCGTTGGTTTGTTGTACCAGGAGGGCAGAGTCGAGACTAGAATGTTCACGTTTTGGGCGTCACGTAGTTTGTCAACGTGGAAGTCAGGTGTAATGTGACCACCCAAATTAATGACTTTCTGCTCTCCTAAGACGATGACTGTCTCCCATTGGGTGAGAGTTTTTGTGTGGATGTCCAAGTCACTGATTACGTTGGCAAACTTCCCGTTATGTTTAAACACACTCACGACAGAAAAATTGAATGGGAGTTTCCCACTGAGCAGGGAGGAGATTTATCACTCATGGCTATCTGCTAAAATTAGTACCATTTGGAGTGCGTAGTGGAATGATTGTAATTCATTGTAATACAAGTTTGTGCAAGTTTATGCGTATTTGTTTTTTTTCTCTTTCTAATCTTTTGCCGTTGGTTTGTGGATGAATGTGTTGCAATTAAATTAGGATCTGGAACTCTGAATATTAAAATAATGAATCTGGTCCGGCAATATTCCATCTTTGTCGATGAAAGAATTATAATTCTCAATACATTATATTATACTAAAAACAATCATTAGGATTGGTAAACGAATGCTGAGTGAGGCCTTTACTAATGTTGCTCGCCCCAGATCAGGTGTCTCTAACAAATTACGAAATAAGATTATAGACATTTCTATGATAGTAAATTTATATTTATGGCTGATATTCCATAGAAGACAATGTGATGCAAGAGATGAATATTTACTACTTACCTTTCCCTCCGAGAACGCAGATAGTATTGTCCAAATATATTTCCTGAGAGGAATAGATTCTCGTTCTGCGTTGTCTGCGTTTCCCTGTCCTTCTGGTATAATGTTCAGACCATCTAACCTCAGATTTTCCCAAGAACTTTATTTCAATGGCTATGAAAAAAGTGAGCATACAAAATTAATATTGTTTTGTGAATAACGCAAGTGCACTGTAACTTGTAACATGTGTTTAAATTAAAGAGATAGACCATATAGTTGAGGATTTGGGGAGTGAAAAACTAGTGCATTTCAGACATCCAAAAAATTACGAGAAACCAGACATCTTGTGTTTTCATTCTGCAATCGTTGTGCTGATCTTCACAATATAAATGCAATAATTATTAGTGACTCCAAAATTGTTTCTCTATAAATATTTTTAGGAGTCTTCCTACAACTACAATATTAAAGATAAAAACTTTTTATATTCTCGTCTTAAAATGAGGTTATGTACAATTTTTCGTAAATATTAATAGTTATCGCATATTTTTTCGGACGGTGTAAATATCGGTAGTAGTCCAAGTTATGCCGAAGTTTCTGTATTTACAAACTTTGCAAAACGTTCACATTGAAAAGTACAATATTGAAGATTTTTTGTCTTAAATAAAATGTTTAAAAAAATAATATTTTTCAAAAAGTTCTCATGCATTGAAAAAAATAGTTTTATCGTAACATGTCTAATGTTTGTTGAACACTGAATTGTCAAAATTTGCAATTTTAGAAATAATACGAGAAAGTATGTGTTGTAGCACTTCTAGTTCTTATCGAATACTGGCTGGTGTATATAATACCCAATAATTACTTTTCCAACATTTAACAATGCAAATAATTCATTCCTCATAGTTGTTTTCAAGCATAAGGCAGTGAAACTGTAATCCCGCCTTGAGATATTGGGCCGGGGGGGGAGCATTCTCGATCTCAGGTCCATCGAGTTAATTAGCTGTGCACTTCCGCTACAGAATGTAATCGCTCTGACGTACACACTTGGACCGGTAAGTGTATAAATGTCCCTCCTATTATTTGAAAATGTAATTGTCCCTCCTATTATTTCAAACACGCAATTTTCAAAAATTCAGAGAGTTCATTGTAAATGTGCGCCATTCTTTTAAATGTCCCATGCATTGACGGTCAAAAAATGTAAAGAAAAAAAATGAAGCAGTTTTTGAGAATACATTTTATACATTGTGTTAATTTCAAGCAGAAATTACGCAAAAACAACTTTTTGTTTTCAAAAAATTGTACATGTTCTTTGAAGAGCTGGTTTTATTTAAGTTTTTAAAGAGCTGAAAATACAGTGAGTTCGCGGGAAAATACACTAATACCAAATGTTTTACGGTCCTTTGAAACATATGAATGGAAAATTTAAAGAAAAGAAGTAGACATTTTAATACTGCCTTAAATTTCTCACTATATTACATGAAAACTACTCATCTTTTTGAAAAAGTGTACATGGCTTTAATTTAAGATGTCTTTATAAAATAGAATTTATTAAGGAAAAAACCGTCAATTTTAATATTGGAGTTGTAGGGAGACACCGTAACATTTACAACTTTTCTAGTTTTCGAAACGTTAGGGATTTCACCAGAAATGAGACTTAAACCACTCTCTTGAGACTCCTTCACGCTATACAAGGATGACATTTAATCCAAAATGTGCAGCTATTTTTGAGGAATTTTTAAAAATGTTGGGTCTTACAATCATAATATCCGTTTCAAACTCAGAGAGACTCGAGTTCATGTAAATCGATTGTGGAAAATGAATTTTGGGGAAAATCGGGAGAACGGTTTAGCGTGGTGGTAGGAAGGTGCCAGCGCGGACCCGGGACTGTCAGGCGTTTTAGTGTCAAACGATTTTTCGGTATCAAGGACTCAAAAACAGGGTTTTGACTACACACTATGTTAGAAGAAGTAATTTACTATTACGCAAGAACAATATTTATTCACTTTTTTTGTTTCTAAGGCGACAAGAGTTTTGCTCTAGAAAATTCGCCATTACAATTTTTTCTTTTCTTTCGAAGTGAGAACGAAAAAGTAAAAAAGACACTAAAGAGAGGACACTAAAAACACTAAAATTAGAATTTTCTAAGTGGCGTCAGATTTGCCGACCATGACCGACATTTCAAGGCGGATTTACCATTTTGAGGCCCCAAGCTAAAATATTCTTGACACTCCCCTTTCAACTGTGAACAAATTTTTTGAGATTGGAGATTTTAAACTTTTGATTCAAAATTAATTAAATAATTGGAACATACCTCAAATAATAACTTTATTCTAATTTTGAATGAAAAGTTTCGTAAGAATCGTCTACATATAAAATTATACTAGTTCTAAAATTGTACATTTTCATAAATTGTTTAGCAATATTGACATTTTCTTTAATAATTTCTGAGGCCTCTTTAGACCCTGAGGCCTCAAGCTGTAACTTTAGCTTAACGGTAAATCCGCTACTGACGATACTGTTAAACTTACGTGAGTAGAAACTATTTCACTTGTACAACCCTTATTATTTTTGAGCAAACAAAAACTGTACTTACCTCTGAAGCGCTTTTCCTTTTTCAGCTTCAGGGCCACGTGGCCAGTCACAGTTTCGCCACAGAAGAACGTTGCGTACGGGTTGTCAAAATGGATACGAAAGTATTCCACGCTCATTTTTTGTAAATTGCAAGTGCACGTCTATTTATGTAAATTACAACAAGTGCACGTCTATTTAGCGTGGAAGTCTGTGTGAATGTACTGCCCGGTGGTAGTCACAAAACCGTATCACGAAATTTAGCAAATAAAGCAGATAAAGGTAGGTTTACGATTAGATAAGCCGAAATAAGTGGAGAGTCAGGATATACCTCTGGAGCAGGAAATGTTGAACTTTGGAAAATTATCTTCTCTGAATCCCTTTGCAAAATGACAACGTTAATCATGAAGTTGAAATTTATTAGAATCAGTGATAACAGTTACTTCTTCAAAAAATTCTCAAATGTTGTTAAATAAAAATTGATCTAAAGCTCTCAGTGACTACAATTACACGTATTGCCATTTTCAATGTTTGTGAAGAATAATTATTTGTGTTTTTCATTACAAACAGAATCTTTATTAAAAATGTTTGAAATGATGAGCACGTCGAAATGTTCATTTGCTGTTCTATTTGTATATTCTGTATCATTCAGATAATGAGATGAGTAACGATATGTAATCTATTTTGGGATAAAATATACTTATCAAACACGTTTCATAGGTAGATTACGCAAAGGAATATCAATATCAGCTGATGATCGAAAACAGCAAGGACAGACAGGATATTTCACCATCATACAAGTTTCATGGCAACATCACTATTTGGCAACCAAATGATTTCTTAGTTTTTTTTACGTATACTAGAGAGTTTCTGCGAAAGGTACTTCAAGATTATCCTGAATGAAAGATCCTCAACACGCGATTATTCTATTTATACGACCGAGTATACAGACACGTATGGCGTCTTGACAGACATTTAGAAATTTAAAGTTTATGAGCTGAGTTTTCACACTTGAATCCATATTTTCTTCTTTATTAGTCTTATTTAATGCTGGATTATTTTTTCCGGAATTAGTCGGCTATAGTCTTTAGAAACAATGAAAAAGTAGCAAAATCGATACATCCTCGGGAAAATAAAAACCCCTAGTTCAATAAAGACTAAATTTTATAATCTTACATCCACCATTTAAATTTTAATAATTGTTTGTAATTGCAATTTCTTCTCAAATACACACCATATCCCAAACTCTTATCTTCAATTCAAAACTGTTGCAAAAACCCCATCCAGTCCGACTTCGCATGAAAAATAAATACCCTTCCACATATTTTTTTGTAAATTGTCTCAGATCTGGAATATTCTTATTGAGGTGCCCGTTATGGTTTCCTCCAACTCCTGTAACAATGTATTAAGTTAGTATAAGTTAAATTTGTAATCAAATACATATTGGATTAAAATTAAAAAACCACTAGTACTAAACAATCAAATAAATTAAATTAAAGAAAGAACTGCCGGGGCGAATAATTTCAATTCACCGTTATCGTTGTATGCTTTTTAGTAATAC